CAACACTTCTTCATTGGTAAGATTTGATCTTCTCCTAGAACTCTTATAAAAAGAGGTTGGAGTCACACCATGACCCTTACCCCTCACCCGACCGGGATACTCGGGAGCATCTAGTACTCTACTAAGTACGCTCTCCTCACCGGTGGATGCCGATTGCGACAAGGTCTCCTGTAATTCATTTACATTTAAATAATTATTAGTGGAGATAAAAAATCATTTATATATTAAAAAACATTTGATTTAATTAAAGACACAGTATTATACTTACACATTCAGTATAAACTCTCTGAACATCGGGATCGACAGCTTGATTCTTGCCCACACGAGCTTCCTTCCACAACACATGTACAGGAAGTGAAGCTTCCTCACTTTTAGTCTCCTCTAACTATGCATTGACATAAACGATAAAATCGTCAATTAAAACATGCACATGTAGACAATTAATTAAAACGCATTTCTATTTACTTACAATTTTATCCTCTAAGCGTGCATATCCCAAACGCCCTTTTTTGTATGGATACGCGGGTTTGGATGCTCTCTCACTATTCGTGGCACTCTTTTTCTGAAAAGCTTCATCTCTTTGCTTTACAAACTCAGCCCAATCTGCTTCATCAATGAAGGTCGCATACTTTGTTGGCCGTCCCGGTGCCTCTTCAAGAAATTTTCCATCTTTATCCTTAAGATAGGTGTTTGTCAAAAAACTTTTCCACCCTCTATATCTTTTGCCGGCCAAACTAAGTATGTAGCTTTTACGTTCATCTGGTATCTCAAAAGTCCTCTGCAAAAAAACGTACGCATAGTGTGTTAGTATAAGTAATTTAAACAATTTATCGTCAAGATAATAACAACAATTAACCATATATGATATATACCTGAAGCTCTTCCCAAATCGCTTGTTTTTTCTCCTCCAATTCTAAATTTTTCGTTTTCGATTTCCAGGTAGCTACGGAGACCGGAATATGCATACGGACAAGTGTACCAATATAACTTGTCAACTTTGCAGAATTAGGACCAATTGGTTGTTTATCAGAATTCCATTCCAATCGGTATACTAATCCTTAGTCTCTATGTCGAATGATTCCCTTCATAATAGTGATGCCTCGTGCAACCTCTTTTGCTTCAGTATCAGGTGGAGCATTTGTATCCGAAGCAACTCTTTCTTGTGAGTTTTCTTGTGAGTTTTCAGGTGGGTTTTCAGGTGGAGCATCTCTATCTGGAGCCATTGAACCTGTATCAAACAAACTAAAGCACATTAGTACACTATTAACACTAACTTTATATGAGAAACATTTCAAAAAATTACAACATAGAAGTTATTATAAGAAGAAAAAAAATCAATCCATTATTAATTGTTCAACGTGAAGATATTCATCCCTGCATCATCTGCCAAACATACCCAATGTATGCTTTCCTTCTTAAAAAAGAATTTAAGTTAAGTAGAAAAAATTTACTTTTTTATTATTAATAAAATAAAAGCATGTGATACAATCAATATTACTTTTTCATGATATTTCTTTTAGGCAAAGATGAGGGGATGCATACTCTATCAATATTAAAAGCATGTTCATTTAATAAATCTTAATTTTTAGTCAAATTGTTTTAAAGTACAAATTGTAAGATTTTCACATATTCGATGCCAGATTACTAAATATAATAATTAAAAAATATAAAAATGAGACCATTACTAAACATAAGCGAGTGAAGGTTATCGAGACCATTACTTTATCACTAACGTCTCTTTCTTTTCTTGGTAGGATTGTGTACTACGCGTCTCTTAACAATGCGGACGGTTGGATTGATCCAAATACCCTCATTATGATCATTTCTAATACAAGATTCATTCTCATTTTGATCGTTTCTTGTACAAGATTCAATGCCAACACCAATATCACCTTGATCTTCAATTTTTTCATCAACTATTTTGTTAGATAAAAGCACTATAGACCATTTCGTACTTGTCGGATCATTGACATAGAACACTTGTTTAGCTTGAGAGGCTAGAATGAAAGGCTCATCTTTGTACCCTACCCTATTGAGATCCACTTGCAAAAATCCTGACTTATCCATTCGTACGCCACTATTATTTTCAACCCACTTGCAACCAAATACAGGAATCTGAAACTTCGCGTAATCAAACACCAAAATGCGCTCGATAACCCCAAAATATGACAAATTTGCAAATTTCGGATTTAAGTCATTCGCACTTGATATGTGCATAGCTTCAGCTACCAAGGTAACACCACTATTTTGCATAGTACTTTTATCATCCTGTTCTTTGGTATAAAATGTGTATCCATTAATTGCGAATGCGCTATAAGAAAGCACAATTACAGATGGACCATAGGCTAAACATCTCAACCTTTCTGTTACTGAAGCAGGATCTGAACGATACTTTGAATAAATATGATCTCTAAACCACGGTATGAAACTTCGATTGTGCTCTCGTACTATCCAGTTCTCATTTCTATTTGGATTTAAATCTCGGAGAACAAATTTGTGCATTTCAACAAACGGCTCAACCTCAATCTCATTGTGCAGAACATACAAGTGCACTTGATCCCGTTCGACCATTGATATTGTCACAACTTTATTTCCAATTAGCCTTTTTCCTTCTTTTTTTTCGACAATATGAGATTTGGGGAGTCCAATTGATTGAACGTTTGACAGATATTCAGTACAAAACTCAACCGCTTCTTCAGCAACGTATCGCTCGGCAATACAACCCTCTGGTCGACTTCTGTTTTTCACGTACCCTTTTAATATTTTCATATAACGTTCAGCAGGGTACATCCATCTCATATAAGCTGGTCCGCACAGTTGTGTCTCTTTCACAAGATGAACGACTAGATGAACCATTATGTCAAAAAACGAGGGAGGAAAATACATTTCAAGATCACATAAAGTAACAACTATCTCATTTTGCAATGTTGGTAAGATCGCGGGATCGACCACCTTACTGCAAATAGACCTGAAGAAGAAACACAGCTTAGTTATTGCGCTTCTTACTTTTTCTGGCAGAATAGAACGTATACCTATTGGTAAAAAATGTTCCATTATAACATGGCAATCATGCGTCTTCAAACTCTTTAACTTGAGGTCTTTCATGGACACAAGTCTTCTAATATCTGAAGAGTAGCCTTCTGGAACTTTTACTTCACTGAGGAACTTACACAATGTTTTCTTCTCCTTTCTAGATAGAGTGTAAACAGCAGGTGGCAGATATGTTCGTCTTCCTTTCGTCACGGGCCCCAATTCAGTTCTCATCCCCATGTTTACCATGTCATTCCTTATGTTAACGCCATCCTTAGACTTTCCTTGTATATTGAGTAGCGTACCTATAACGCTGTCAAATACATTTTTTTCAATATGCATAACATCTAGGAAATGTCTTACGTACAACGACTTCCAATATGGAAGTTCAAAGAAAATTGACTTCTTCTTCCACCCACCCTTGACAATTGAATGTGCAAAAGGCTTGCCAAACTGAGTGCTCACATCTTTCACCTTTTCAAAAATTTGATCACCTGACAAAAAAGGCGGGGCTGTACGATGTTCGGCCTCTCCATTGAATACTTTTCTCCACCCACGGTAGTGATGATTAGAATTTAAGAATCTACGATGGCCGAGAAAGACATTCTTCTGACAAAGCGCCAATCGTGTCGTATCGGTTTCATCTTCACAAACAGGACACGCCTTTTGACCCTTGTTGCTGTACCCGGATAGATTTCCGTATGCTGGAAAATCATTAATTGTTCCAAACAACATCGCCCTCAAGTTGAAACTTTCTTTCCTATACCCATCGTAAACCTCCACACCTCTCTCCCACAAAAACTTTAAATCTTCGATTAAGGGTGCCAAGTATACGTCTATGTCATTCCCTGGTTGTTTAGGCCCAGAAATTAGCATAGATAACATCATGTACTTACGCTTCATACATAGCCACGGAGGTAAGTTATAAATCATAAGAATCACAGGCCATGTGCTATGCGAGATACTTTGAATACCATGCGGGTTCATTCCATCAGTAGACAATGACAATCGAAGGTTTCTTGCTTCTTTTCCAAATTCAGGATATTCAGTATCAACTTTACTCCATTGTGGTGAGTCTGCCGGATGTCGCAACTTTCCATCAATAATTCTTTCATCTGCATGCCAAGTCAAGTGTCTTGAATCGGTCTCACTACGATACATGCGTCTAAATCTCGGAATTATAGGAAAATACCATAAGACTTTAGCAGGAGACAACTTTTTCTTATATCGAGGGGCACCACATTTAGGACACTCATTCAACGCTGCATACTCGTTTCGAAACAAAACGCAATCGTTTGGACATGCATGTATCTTATCATAGCTCATTCCAATAGAAGACAACATCTTTTTGGCTTCATACGTTCGATTGGGAAGAACATTATCCTCTGGTAGCATATCTTTCATAAGGGCTAATAACTCTGTGAAACTTTTATCCGACCATCCATTGTCCGCCTTTAAGTTGTACAACTTTAACACCGCAGACAATCTTGTGAATTTTGAACAACCAACATACAACGGTTTCTCTGCATCGCTTACCAACCTCTCAAACATTTTGGGACAATCCGCAAGATCTTCTTCAAGCGCTTCTGCAATCTCTTCGACTCGATCACAATCGTATGTGTCTGTGCAATCGTCGTTTGAAGCATACTTCCTATTACAACTCGACTCAGCATTCCCGGTACTTTTCTCACCATGCATTGTCCAACATGTATAACTTCTATCAATTCCAAACCGTAGTAAATGAGATCCCAACTGATTCCCGTCAACCTTACCCCCGGCATAACAGCAACCCAAGCAAGGACACGGCATTCGAAGCGGGTCTTTGGAGTGCGCAACCGCAAACTCAACAAATTCCCATACCCCTTTCTCGTACTCTTTCGACAATCGGTTTGAATTCATCCATGTCTTATCCATGTCTTAATTAAGCTAAACAAAAACGGTCAAACTTTCACTCTTCACAAGTAACCCCTATGGCGAATTCAATTCACAAAGTTAGTAAGTACCTCACTTAACGATAAACGAAATTGACATCATGAATATTAATTTTTTAAATAAAAAGATGTTTTAAGTTTGAACTTAATTTTTGATAGTCTTGTTTAAAATTTTTATTGTATGTGTAGTAGATGTGTCAACAAATATCAAAATACAATGACTAAAATTATGAGTCCACGAGGAAAGATGATAATACAATTTATATGTAATAATTACTATTCTAAGCAAACAAGAGCTTTGTTTGAAAAATGTTTTGAACATAAAAAAATATAAAGTAAAAATAACAATGATAGAAAGTTTTTGGGGGGTTAGGATGTAATTAGTGATTACTATGATTACAGTTATATCAATATCAATTATACACATTTTATCCCTTAATCCATATTTTCACTTCACTATACAAACTCAGCATTTAATTTCAGCAAATTCACACTCTTAACTATACAAACTCAGCATCTAAGCTTACTACTACTAAGCCATATGCTGGATGTTAAACAATATCTAAAGAGCAATATTAGAGACATTGATTGATCTATCTATTTCAAGCATATTGAAAAGAAATTCAAAAAAAGATATATAATATAATGATATTCACCAAAAAAGATATATAATATAATGATAGGCCAGTGGAATTGCAGATAAGGGTAGGATCAATACTGAAGAAGGTTCATATTTTGAAGGCAGGGTGTTCAAAGAGAGTGAAAAGTAAAGGGATATATAAGGCTTATATGCCTGGGAGAAGTGGAAGCAATGATGTGGGATTGAAGAGTTTGTTGTATTACTATGATGAGACTTGTCAACCTTATATATGGATTCATGATGTAGGGGGTGGTTCTTTGAGGATGGTGAAACAACAGTATGTGAGTCTTGAGGATTTGAGGGAGTGTTGTGAGATTAGGATCTTGAGGGATCAACATAAGGGTTGCATTTCGGTTTGTAAGAGAACTAGACCTGATTTATGCTGAATTTGAATGTCACACTATCTAGTCTACATTGTTTGTTATGGGTGGGAAATAACAGTTTCATTTCTTGATTTTCTGTTTTCTTTTATTGTGTGTTATGAATTGCAGAATATACATATCCATTGTCATGTTTGATTGTTTTATTATATGAATTTTCTTGGAGATATAATATAGGCCACATAGGTTATAATATTACCCATTATAAAAACAATGAAATAACAAGATGTATGTGATTACTGATCTAGGATTCTAGTTGATACTACTTTTCATTGTTCATGTATTGTTTAACAAAAATACAATGGCACCTGCTGGTTACTACAGCAAATACATTCCCTCCCCATTCTTGATGTTGTTTTGGAAGGCATGTCCATGACTTTCATAACTGGAATTCCTAAATTGCACAGATTCAAGGCCATCCTATTACTTCCACTACTAATAGGGGACTCATTTAAAATTAGAACAAAGTTCTATATAGACCGTCCCTAACACATAAATTATTAGCACATAACATAATTTGATCCTAAAAGCTAGAGAGAAATACACTCTCATGTCTCAAGCCTTTCCCAAGAGATCAACTTTGCCTCCCAATCTTACGACTGCTTGTAACCCATTATTATTAGTCAAGCTGTCATTGGGTGCGTGTGTTCCTGCCAGTTTTCTTTAATTCTTGGATTATCAAGAACTCTCCTTGAGATTCTAACATAGGAGTTAAGTTCTCTTCATCTATTTCTTTCCTATTGAAAAAAGAATCATTTTTTCTACTCTTCATTATCACTTTTGTGATGCATAATCAATTAAATAAATTAACACAACACAACAAAATCTCAAAATTATCTAAGTTCCAATCTTACACATATTAGTAAGTACCAATTCTCTAAATTCCAATTCCACTACATTATAGCGCATTAAAAATATAACCACCTCTAATATAAACAAATTCCTTCTACTCCTAACAAATTAAAAAATAAACACTACCATTTTTCTATTAATGTCTTATGTAACTAATAATTAAAGTTTACAAAATTTCAACTTCTAAGACACCAAACTAAAAAAAATTATCACATTATCACAATACAAACACAATACTTCAAACCAGAACATCAACTTAATAAAACAAACCAAAAACACATTATCACATTATCACAATATTATACTTCAAACTAAAACACCAACCTACAACAACACAAGATTACTTCAAGATTAATTTTTAAAAACAATGTTAAATCTTACTTAAGATTTAAGAGGAAGGAAGCAAGTTAGATGAAGAAGATGGACTTCTAAAAACCAGTTCGTGAAGGCCTCTGGAGGATTGAGATTACTTGAATGAGAGAGATTACTTAAGCAATTGAACGAGAGAAAGAAATTGTTCTCCTGGAATGCGAAAATATCAATTGGTTAGGGTAAACAAGAACAATGACATTAGTTTCTTTGACATTAGTTTGAAGAAACTGTTGAATGAAGAGTATAAAAATACACAAGTTTCCTTGACATCCATCACAAATGACTTACTTAGTGAAGCATCAAAAGATAGTGATACCTTAAATATTGAGAGCTTTAGCTTGTTTGTTGTTGAAAACAATTGAAATGGATAGTGAAGAACACTGTAAAGATCATTTTCATTAAAGAAACATTTGCACAGAATAAACATGTCATGATTAGGAATATTCAGCATTCAACAAGTAAAGAGGAATTAGCATCTGGGTAGTGAAGAATTGATGATACCTGATGATGATAACTGAGATTGACGCAAAGCTTTTCACTTCTAAGATACCGGAAATGGTGGCATAGCTAGAGGAAGACAGGGGAAGCTCGTTGTAGGTGTACTGGAAGGAGTTGATGGAGCGGAATTGTGGTTGGAAAGGGTGTAGACGGTGGGGGTGACCAACGGAGGCTGAAAAGCTTAAGACGAACGGCGGCGACGGCAATGAGGAAGCTCTGAACGAAAGAAATGAGGAAGACTAAAGAACAGATTTAGGGATTTTTAATTTTAATATAAAAACAACCTACGAAAGCGCTTTTAAAAAGCGCTGGCATAGGGTACCCTATAAGAGCGCTTCTGAGGTAAAAAGCGCTTTCGTAGGTCCCCCTATCAAAGCGCTTTTCAAAAGCGCTGGCATAGGGTTCCCTATAAGAGCGCTTTTCAAAAGCGCTTTCGTAGGTTAGATATTTCAAATACCTATGAAAGCGCTTTCTGAAAAGCGCTTTCGTAGGTAACCCTATGCCAGCGCTTTTAAAAAAGCGCCTTCGTAGGTTTCCCTTTTTTTTAATTTTGTTTTTTGTGAAGGCTATGGCAGCGCTTTTTCAATAAGCGCTTTAGTAGAGGCGCTGCTAAAACTTATTTTTGGCGTAGTGTATCATCGTAATTCATCAAAAGCCATGAAATAAAACTCAACGCCAAAAGACTAAAAAATAAACATAACCGACTCCATGAGACACAACTATGTTATGCATGTGGTACCCGTCGCTTTGTCCATGATTAGGGACATTCGGCATAAAAGCCCATCGTTGCTTTGGCATAAAAGCACTCGTCGCTTGGCATAAAAGCCCTCATCGCCAATGCAATGTATGTGACTCGACAACACGACATCTCAAACACGACACAACAAAACATCACCATCGCACATCAAAATTGGTATAAAACCCACGTCACCATATTTATCCACATCAAGATAAACATATCATCGCATCGCATATCATCAAGTATTCATTATAAATAAACCGTCGCAAACATCATATTTAATCACACCACATCATTATCAAATAATTCACTAAATTTCAAACACGGAAAAATAGTCAAACATCAATAATCTTCGCGAAAGTCATTCATAATAATCGGCACAAATCATAATCATTAACATCGCAATCGGATTGCCCATACGCGACTTAAACCGACTAAAACACAACCCATTTCAAATTAACCGTAAATTGGCCTATTTCGGGTTGCTTCATAAAAATTCGAAATCTCGAAAAAACTAACCTCACCACGACGTTCTACACGTCGAAATTAGCTAGCACGTCAATTTTCGTTCAATTCAGAGCAACTAGCTTCGTCGCCGAAATTGCCGAAATTGGGAAATCGGACATAATCGGGTTCCAAATTAAATCGGCTAACTCATATCATATTTGTATTTAATTAATATAAATATTTAATATATTAAATTAAGAAAAGAAAAACAAAACATAAATTAATTAATTTTCTAAACTTAATTTCAATTTCATACTGCAAGTTCTTTTAGTAAACGTAATGTACTGCTAGTTCCTTAGCAACTTAATGTACTGCTAGTTCTTTTGCAAACTTAATTAAGTAATATACTGCTAGTCTTTAGTTTTACAAACTTAACTTAATTTCTACACTGCTAGTTTAGTTTTTATAATTTAATTTCTATTAACATAACATTAATCCCACAACACTAACACCTATATTAACTCTCCTAATTTATCTCAACAAATCTCAAGAACCCTAACATCAATTTTATCCCAAATCAAAATATAACAAATCAAACTCTAACTATAAGTATTGGAAAACCAAACCCCTTACCTTAGATACTTGAAATGATCCTTGATGATTTCAACCAACCCAAAACCCAAGCTATGGTGTTCTTCTTCCTCTTCTCTCCAAGACCTTCTTGTTCTCTCTAACTCTCACAAAGTGTGTTTTATGATACAAAGACAAGGCAAAGTGTGTTTGGTTTGTTTTGATGCAAGACATAAGCTAGCAAAATACCCAAAAAGCCCTTCTTGAAATATACTACTAATTAACACTAAATAATATCAAATAATATTATTAACCCAAATAATTAAAATAACTCCAAATAATTAAATATCAATCCGAATAATATTTTATAGAACCGAACGGAATAAAAACCAGACCGAACAAAATAATTACCGGTCCCTCAAAATAAATACCGGACCGAATAAAATAATTACCGGTCCCTCAAAACAAATACCGGACCAAATAAAATAATTACCGGTCCCTCAAAACAAATATCGGACTGATTAAAATAATTACTGGTCCCTCAAAACAAATACCGGACCGAATAAAATAATTAGCGGTCCCTCAAAACAAATACCGGACCGAATAAAATAATTACCGGTCCCTCAAAACAAATACCGGACCGAATAAAATAATTACGGGTCCGAATAAAACATCGCCGAATATATTAACAGATATACCGGTTAATTAAAATATTCTCGTCGCAAAAATAAACGTCAAACGGTAACTCGAAAATGTTAATATAATATAATATTAAATAAAACGGGCGTTACAATTCTCCCCCACTTATAAAAGTTTCGTCCTCGAAATTACCTGACTCGAAAAGCTCGGGATAGGAATCCCGCATCTTGCTTTGTAACTCCCACGTCGCACTTTCACCAGCTGCTCCTATCCAAACAACTTTAACCAAGGAGATCTCTTTGCCACGAAGAGACTTCATCTCACGATCTTCGATCCTTAATGGCATCGTCTCCACCGTAAGATTGTCTTGCACTTGAATATCGTCCATCTCAATCACATGTGAAGGATCTGGAATATACTTCCGAAGTTGCGACACATGGAACACATCATGCAAGTTCGAAAGATTTGGCGGTAACACCACTCTATAAGCCACTTTTCCCACTTTACTAGTAATTTGGTAAGGACCAATAAAGCGAGGAGTTAGCTTCTTCGACGTCAATGCTCGCCCAACGCCGGTTGTAGGAGTAACTCGCAAAAATACATGATCACCATCTTGAAATTCCAAGTCTTTTCTCCTTTTATCATGATAACTCTTTTGTCGACTTTGAGAAATTCTCATCTTTTCTCTACATCTTCACCGTCTCAGTAGTCTCTCTAACCAATTCTGGTCCAAGCACCACACTTTCACCGGACTCATGCCAACACAAAGGAGTTCTACACCTTCGACCATACAAAGCCTCGAACGGTACCATTCCAATACTAGCATGAAAACTATTGTTATAAGTAAACTCAATCAAAGGAAGATATGTATCCCATGAACCACCATGTT